GATAATTCATCAGAATATTCAGAGGATGAATTTTAATATACCTACTTTTTTATTTTCTTTATTGTACATTTATACAACACTACATTTACTCACCATAATTTGAATTTTCAAAATACATATATTTTTGTGTGGAATAAAAGTCTATTCATTAAATTTAAATAAATATTTTGATAATAATATTGAATAATTTTATTTGAATTACTAAAAACCCTCTTAACCCGGTTATGATGCTTAAAGTAGCCTCATGTTTTGAAATGCTGTTTTTATATTGTTTACTTCTAAGAGAAATGGACCGAGAAATTGAAGCGGCATAGACAAAGACGGATTGTTGGGGATTACACTTTAGTTACCTGCTACAATTTAGTACAGTCCGATCGCACAAAGTTTTTTTAAAAGTACACCTCATCCTATACCGATAATATAAAAATATTGAATATAAGCACCAGTACTACATTTATTTACGATTTGCACACATAATAAGCTTTTATTACTCTCTTTCAATTTTAAACAGACTATAGCACCTTTTACACTTTACAATGAATTTAAAAGCAACACCATTTAGAATAAAAGTGAACAGAAAGGAACAAACCGTACCCATAGACTTACAGCCTCTTTACATCTTCACAATATTCTTTACTGTTTCGAAGACATTTGTTTCCTTTTTTCATTAACGCAAAAGTAATTCGACCACAGTCGCTAATACAGTTTGGGGAACATAAATCTAAATCGACCTTCCCATTGAAGTATACTCTACACAAAGGTAACAGTTCGACAGCCATCCATTCTGACATTTAACCAAGACAAATCGGTGTGAATTCTGCGGCCTGGACTAACGGGGCCAAAGGCTGAAACGCTAATTAAGATTGAAATAGGCGCCGGCTTTCAGATATTTAAACAAATAGTGAGCTTTGTCCGCTTATAAGGTTGTGCAAACATCGCAGGAATGTAACTGGCTCTTACAGTTTAGAGACGCGCAGTCATTGGGAATTTCAGGAACGAAAGAAATATTCTTGTACAACAGTTGCAGGTTTGTGGGGGCTTTACAGGTTAGTTTTTAATGGCTAAAATCAAATTTCAATCAACATTAATCAACTAACTGTTTATTAATATTTATGTTGAAATGAAAAGTTGTAATGTGAAATTGGATTCCATAAACACGGGCTCATTTTATTTGTAAGCAGTAAAGAGGTAGCGTCAGCATTGTTGTCGTTAAAAATTTTCTTCCCGATCGTATTTTGAAAAGAGAATTTTCCACATATTCTCAGCTACTTTGTCACTTTTCTAACCTTCAAAACCCTTTAAATAGGGAAATGACTGGTATGCAGAGTGATTCACAACTTATCCAAACAAGTTTGAGTCAAATCGTAATTTTTTTTTTTGTAAAATCCGAAAAAAAATTATTGAAGTTTAGTATTTACAACCCTTACATCGCTGGGCTACTTTAGTCTCTAGTGTCATTTGCGATTCTGAATACTGAAATCCGTAGTATTAACGTTTTGGCGATAGTGTTTACATTAGTTTTTCCAGTGTCAAAAATGGCTTACCTTTATTTTATGATGAAGCAAAACAACATTTGTGTTAAGGTGAAACACTGTGTTATGGTGAAGCAAGACAACATTTGTGTTAGTTCGTAGAAACTGGGTAAGATTGGCCCAAATGTATTTATACGTCGGTGAACAAAATTTTGAACAGTTGCTGTAATATCAGGCATGTCAAATTATTTTATTTTATTAACTAAATCCACAAATTAATTTTATTAATTAATATAATAGCGGCAGTCGAATTTCTTGATGTATGCTGATACTGAACAGGTGTTATAAAATTTTATTTATTTCTTTCCTTGAGAAAGAAATCCTTTAAATTTTTTGTCCGTTTGTAGAAGTGTATTTTTAAATCATATTCATACTGCCATTTTTGTTGTTTTTTGTTACAAAATTCTATTTGTAAACAGCAAGAGAGTAAGAGTGTACATTTAATTTTTTTTTTAAATAAGTTCTGAATCACCCTGCACATTTCTGGATTTTCTAGTGTCATAAATGTAGCAATGGTATTTTTCCGAAAGTACGGTACCTACATTTTCCTTGTTGATAGTTAAGAAACAGTAAGCAAATTTAAACATTTTCGCTAAGCTCTATTTGGCTAATGCCAAAACCATCACTAAAAAATCGGAAAAACCGGTCCTTGCGAGATTTCTACAAATATAATAAAAGAAACTACGAAATATACTTTTAAATACGTTTTATGGTAACACTTTTGGGGGGTTTCTCCTACCATCCAAAAAGATACAAAAAAATACAAGAAATGTGCCGGCACGATTTTCAAGAAAAATTGAACAGCGAAACCCGCTTTTCAATATCCGCATATGTTTTTTCTGTCACAAGAAATACGTTTTTAACATATGTACCATGTCGCTAAACTTTTAAACCACTATCTTTCACTTGAATACACCATAGTTAATTAAAATATCGATTAAATGTACTTAAAGGTTCCTAAAAGAAAAATACCGACCGCGAAAATAACAAATCAACACAAACACGTCAATCCAACAGCATTGTGTTTACCTCAACCCTCGTATTTAATGTTTTTGTGTATCCCCGGGAATATTTAAATGAAATGCGTACTTCTTAAAATATTCTGATGTAGCTATTTCGAGATCAAATCACGTAAATTGGGCATTATGTCTCCAAAAAAAAAAACGAGATTCTATAATAAATTACAGCAATTTATAGCCAATAAAAATAGTTTGTTTTATACGTAAAACAGGCGTGTGTTTTTAAATTAACCCATTTTTGGATTTCGAGAAATAGTTTAAATAGTTTACTGTAATTATTGTGGGAGTAGGTGTACCATAAAAATACTTTTAGGATAAAAAAATATAATTATGTTAATAGGGTTCAAGATTACCTCTACGTTCTCAAATTTTTTACTTAATAAATTGATCGAGAAATCGAAAACAATACAACTGGTTCATAGTATCAATTTTCATACTCGTGGTTTGCTGTTATTATCATTATTATTAATTTAACCAATAAATTGGGCAATTTGCTGTAACGTCTAAAAATGTGCTACTAGTATACTAATTTCTTGGCCAATTTCTTGAAAAATTTATTGTATAAAAAATTTGTAAATATAAGGAATAACCAAATACGTATATTTATAATTTTGTAACGAATACTGTACTTCCACTAATAATATGAACTTCCGCTATAGTTAATACAGTTCTATTAATCTCAAGACATTTTTTGTTCATGATAATCGAATTACTTAAAATTAAGTTTTTTTTTAATTAAAATGGAGAAGTTCGCAACAGAATAGATATTACAAAATCTCACTGCAAGAAAAAGAGACTTTTAAATTTAATTTGACGTTATTATAAATAGCGAAATGAAATACTGTTTTTCTATCTCAAAATATTGTTAACTGCTTATCACTTACATTCTGGCTTCAAATATGACACAACTTATTGGTATCCTGAACGTCTTCCTTATCGTTTGCGAAATGACTAAATCGAAATATACCCGTTATCTTTATCGACCATTGGTCAAACATAATAAACAATAAAAACTATGCGGTATGAAAAACCGATGTGTGTGCTTTCGACATGCATCCGACATTAATTCCCTTATATGTAAATAAGCGGTTGAAATTAACACCAAAATTCGCACTAACGGATTTTTGCAAAATTAAATTCCGGGTACACAACTAGATTTCTATTAAAAAATGCTGTTTGTTTGACTCAACTAATCAACAATGGCATTTTATAGTGTTTTTTTATTGTCCTATTCTGATTTACAGGCTTAGTCAACATTCTTAGAAAACAAAAGTTATTATTTCCATCTAAAAATATTCAAATTATTGAACGTTAGCGACAAATCGCCATAAATGTCATAAAATTGTAATTGAAACAATAACACACTCCTACAGATTCAGATACTTATTTTCCAACTGCTAATCTCTCCATTTGTGGCTACAGAAACCATAGCATTTGCACTATATAGCACATATATCGGCGTTAGTGCCTAGCTAGAATTTCATCTGCAATTAAAATAATTATCCAATTACGTGTGTCTTGTTCGTACAATCCAGAATTACTAAAGGATTATTATAAATATCCATATAGCTCGGGGTTAATGTAAATTGTAATTTCACAGGAATATTACGGATTACTTTAATTCGAAATGGAATGCTTATTGCCAGCGAAATTAGTGCCAGTTTTCTAGCCGTTTCACCGAAACAATTTTAGAGGTGTACACAAAATTAAATAAACTTCCTTTGTGCGATTACTCAACAAATTACGTAATTTTAACAACGGAACTGAGGTATAGTCTTAAATCTCGCAAATCCTATTTGTTGTCTCGAATTTGTGGAACTTGAGAACATAGAGAGAGTAAAGTAGGTGTGTACAACAAAACATTTTAATGCAAAGTGGGTATTTTCTATGGTTCATAGAAATTAGCTACCGCATATAGTAGAATAGGCTAACGAATAGAGATTTCTTGTCACACTTAAATATTACAGGAAATTTCATGTATTACCTTTTGAAAAATACTTAGTAGATGAAAACCCAAGTGATTTCCCCAGCAAAGTCGTGAACAATTTTTTTTAAATAATAAAAACTGCAAACAATGTAATTTTTCATTTACTAAGTATTTTTCAAAAAAAAATACATTTGCTGTCATATTTAAGTGTGAAAACAGCATCATTTTTCGCTCTATTAGTTGACCTAGAAGTCTATGATCTAAGAGAGCAAGCTTTTTTAATTTTCTAGCGAAATTTATTAAATAAGGCCAAAAATATTTATAATAACATTAAGACATAAATTTAAAAATTCTCAGTAAATCAGTAAATAGTATACAGGCATTTTAGACTAAATCTAAACTATGTTACGGTGAAAACATCAAATTCAATGGTAAAGTTTAATATAAATCAATGTTAGCGAAACCCAAAGAAATCTGTAAAATTTAACGTAGAAATAGTTATTTACACCATAAAGGAGGTAAGTATTATTTACCAGTCGATGAGGATTTTGCGCCCGAGCGAAGCCAGGGCTGGCAATAGAGTCCGAGACTGGTAAGTTATACTTAACTGCTGCGTGGTGTACAACATTTTATATGCTCCCACAGTTAGGTTTTATTTTTTGACATTATTCGATATCTTACAAAGTCGCTATGGTTGTTTGGATTTTGTCGTTTCTAAGGTGTTTATAATCTACATAAAAGTTGTAATTTCCCTGGTTTTTAATTATAATTTTTAAATGAGTGATTTTCAAATAGAAAGTGCAGCAAATGCTGCCTGCGAATTTTTATTGCCCGAGAAGTCGAAACATCCTGAAACATATACAAGCCATTCATTCCGAAGAACATCGGCAACGTTATTGGTTAATACAGGAGTTGATGTATTAGCAGTCGAGTGATGGGGGGTGGAAATCAGCCACAATTGCGGAAAGTTGTTGCTGACAGTTTAAGTAAGAAAAATGAAATAGCCAACAGGATTCTTTACAATGACACTTCAACTCCAGATTCTAGTAGTACGTCGCACTAAGCTGTATTAATGGATTAGTCAGATAATATAGAGCATCCGGTGACTGAAATGGAGCGGTAAAATCATTTGGACAAAAATGTGACAATTAGTAAACGCGAGGGGAATAATTATCCAAATTTTATAAATGTTACTAAATGTAATAACTGTACAATTACTATAAATATGAATTCATAATAAATGTAATATTTTAAATATTTCTATTTATTTGTTCATAAAATTTATAACTCGAAATCGCTTTTTTCCCTAGGGAGTTCTGGTAAGAAATAAAGACTTATTAAGGAAAAAATCGCAATTTTATAAAAATTATAATGAAAATGAGATTTAAAACCACCACCTTACGTAGCAGAATAGTAAATATAATGATATAAAGAAGGTTGATACAAGTTAATTAAAATAAAAAATTAACTTCAAAAAATTACGTTTTTACATATCATATCATTTTTTAAGCTACACCAAAAATGTATTCGTTTTGCAATCGGAAGTCACTCAGCGAGGTTTCATAAATACCTGTTTTTTATTATTAGAAACTATGTCACGAGCCACGTGGGGACATTTCCAAGCCCAAAAGGAATTCTAACAAATTCATTATAGTTAGCATAAAACGTTAAAGGTTTAACATGCTGTTAAACAACATGTTTTATCTAGAAGTTTATTATCCCCTTTCAGGAAATACACTTAAACAAGGGCCCGGGGAATATGCAAACTCGAGGAAACAAATTTACATTAATCTGTTATTCGAAGTAGTAGGTACAAAAATACATTATCGACGTTTAGTAATCGTACTCGTACCACCATCCATTTGCGTTATAAGGAACAAATTCCTACGGCACGTGTAGTTTGCTACAACAGACGAGTTCACGATTTAAATTCAACGTGCAAACCCAAGATGTCAATCTTGTGACCCACAAAACCAACACTGCACGCTCCTTGCTCATTAGCGTTAATTAACTTTCGAAAGTTACTTAGAAATATTTTTTTATTGCCGTGAGAGAAATATTAACCTTGGGCGTGTTGTGTACCAGGTAGAATCTGTTTTGTTGTAAATGATTTACACATTAGTAAAAAAAAATATATTTTCTTCCACAATATTGAAAATTTGTTGCTCAATTCAGTCGCAAATTTCCTCTTCCTCACGCCCTCATTGAACCACCTCGATAAAGGTAACAGCATTTAAAAACGAAGTGGAAATCTGCTAACGAATTTTTTCGTATTTCGCCATAAATTAAAACAGCATCTATTAATTTTGCATTACTATAAACATTTTGAGCACCTTCAAGACTGATGTAAACAAGAAACCACGGTAATAAGAGCACTGTGCAAACCACAGTAATACTGAATAAAGACGCATTTTTCAAATCAAATCGCCTGATGATGTTAGGAAGGACGAGAGCAAGAAAACTTAATATTTAGTTTAACAAACATATTAGAGTTGTTAAACAATTTTGCCTCGAAATCTATAAATATTTTATTGTTAACTTTTCTGTTGTAAACGTATTGAATGCAGCTTCTGTGTACGGTAGGATCTTTTTTCACTCATGGAACTGTCAAAATGGCGACATGTTACCAGTGTTACCAACTTTACGATCTTTCGTAAATTCATTTGTTACAAAAGATTATTACGATCGTAGAATCGATTTCTGCGAAGTTATTGACACAGAGGGGAATTCAAGTCCTGCTAGGTCTTCCGATATGACCCTGCCTGACTTTCTGTGGAGTCGCATAAAAAATATAATCTACAAAAATAGGCCGCACAATATCGAAGAGTTGCAGGAAAGGATAAGGCATGGAATTTCCACTATTCTTTCCAACATCCTTTTAGATTTACTACAAAATTTTGTTCAGCGAATTCATTATTGTCAGGTGGTAAATGATGAACACTTTGAGCATCTTATAAAATAGAATTCCAATGAAAGTATTTGTTGTTTATTAAAACTTGTTTTCTCTCTTTTTTATTGTTTTAATAAAATTGAAAATATCCAGGACATTCATTAAGAATTACATTTCTTCGTTTCATGCATTTTTATTAATTCTGAACTAATATGCTTTTTATATACTGTAAAAAAATAATATAAAAATTAAATCATATCCATATTCTCTACCTTGTGTTATTTTCAAAATAAATATCCATAATTTGGGGACATTTTTATTTTATTGTGAGAGTAGTAAAAAGTTACTTTCAAAGTTCGATATCTCGAAAACGGTTAAATTTAGGTATATGAATTTTATTTAGAATTTCGAGAAGAATTGAATTATAGAATAATATACAGGATGTTCCATTAAAGAAAAAGCAACTTTGTTTCGACATGACTGTTTGATTTAACCTGTATATTTAATTTTTCTTAATTGTACTAGATTTTAAAAAACCCTAAAACGTTTATGTCTTATGATTTTTCGAAAGCTATCTGACTTCAGGAGATAATCGACCATTTCCATACATATCAGCGACCCTGTATGATGAACATTCAACTTTTATATGATTTCCTATTTAACATTTTTAACGTAGAACATCACTTAAATCAGCTTTTGAAGTTAGATGGTACACTACGTTTGATTAACTAATTATTTATTATTAGAAGAGCCTACATAGTCCAGGAAATATAGAGTTGAAAGTGCCTTTTTGTTTCGGTAAGCTGAATTTATCACTATAGATGCTAAATATTATGTACAATAACATATTAGTTTCCAAAGTCATAAAAATTGGGGGAAGATTGTTTACAGGGTGGTTAATTGTATAATTTTTACGTAAATTCACGTTTTTCGCTTATAACTTTTTTCCGTTCATTTCCACGAGAAAACAGTAAAGTACTTTTCTTCGTCTTCAAAAGACCTACAAAACTAGCCCTCGAGCGTCAAAAAATATTTATTAGATCAAAAGTTATAAACAGAAAAAGTTTATTTATGACTTTTGAATTAAACATTTATAAACTGCGTTATTATTACCAGAACGTTTTGGCATCGCATCCTCTCATTCCTTATCACTGTCTAATAACTCACACGAAATCTGGAATCGGTAAGTTGAATAGTTTACAAGTTATGGCCTTATAAACAAATTAACTAATTATTAGTCTGGACGATCCCGATGATCTTCCACAATAGCACTAATTTTTCTCTTGGTAGATTTCAGAACAATACATTGAAATCTATCTCTTTTTTTTAAT